CAATATACCAGCAGACCACTGTGGGTCATTCGGGTAGCAGGGATGCTGTGGACACTCGTTATTCCCCCCTGGCCTTGTCCTTTGTGTCTTTTCTCGCTGTCATGGCTGCCATCGTCTTATGATCTCAAACACTTACAACCCCTTTTTCAAGGGGGAAGTCGTATCTGGCTGTGCCTGAGGTGTGTTTTCTTCCCCTCTAGCTCCCTCTCTTCTATTTATGAGGGAGCTGAATAGTCGGAGGTACTTTGCACAGACATGTGGCTTGGAAATGCAATTTTAATTCCAGCCACGAGGGGACCTTCACAGCTTATTGTCTCTTTCCTGCAGGTTCATCTGATCCATGCACTTAGATCTGTAAAACCATGCGTACATCCACAGATATCCTACATCTCCCTCCTAGCTGAGGATCTGTTTGATCCCCTGTTAAGTCAACTGTCATATCTTGGAACCTGCATCCAACTTTATTCCACTGCATAAACCCAGGAGCTTCTTTCCTGTGTTTCCTCAGCAGCTTTGGATTTCCCTTTCAGGTCATCAACTTTCCAAAGCCTCTGGGTTCCTTGGGAGTAATACTATGGGATACTGAGTTGACAGCAGGGCTGGGGACTGCAAAAAGTGATTTCTGCCTGTGTTGATCCATAGATTATGGACCAAAGGTCCAGGGTGAGCAACAGCTGAAGCATTCTTTGTGCCACTGCACACCTTAATAATCCAGCTACAGTGTGATTTTAAAAATTGTTGTCTGAGTTACAGTTACGCTGCTTCTTAGATAAGAAAGGATTCCTCTTTTTAGTTATTTATTTTTAATATGGCTTTCATGTAGGTAGCAGGTGCCCAGAGTTTATATCAAAAAGACCCCATGTCTTGCATAGAGAAAGTTGGTAAATAGGCTACAAAAATTAATCTGAAAAATAAGGAGCTTCAATTTATTGCAGCAACTGTTTTCACGTCACATAACCTGGCCTTGGAGTCTCATTCTCCCCCTGCACGCAGCAGCTGTGTACTTGCATAATTTGATCTGTTTGTGTTTGTATGACTAAAAGAGGATGTGACTGTAACATAGACTGACTTGCTCACTTAGTTTAATGAACAGCAAAGAGAGACCAATTAAAACACTCAGCCGGGGCCCCCAGCCCGGGGAGCTGGTGGCAAGACACTGAAGCTGCCCGTTGTCACTGCCGCTCACTCTGCCAGCTGCACTGGGCTGGCCAGCTGGCCACCGTATCACCTGCTCTGCTACCCCCTCTTTTGTGCAGAGAAGCAGCATCCCGCCGCAGAGCTGCTCCTGACACTACTCCTGAGAGGCAGGCAGCCCATCCACTCCTTTCGCCCTGGACTTCCTGTGCTCCTCATCTCAGCCACAGGGGGGAACCTCCGCCTCAGGTATGAACGGCCCATGGGTGAGCTCAGATCTTTCCTTAGGCACGACCAGCACTCAGGCCATGTGCTTTTCCTGTTCTGGAAAAAAAGGAACTTTCTGTATAAAAATGTACCCAACTTTTGTTCTCCCCAGTTATATCCTGAAAGAGATATAATAACTACTTATAAAAGCTATCTCGCTTGTATGTCTTGCATTCAAAAGAGACGTGATTCACAACTCTCAAGTACCTTTCAGGTGTTTTAAGTTCTGCTCAGGTTAGAATTAAAGAATGCAGCATTTCTCAGATATCATCCTCTAGGCTCTCTGAGAAATCTCATGTGGGCAGCGAAGTATTTTGTGCTATACAGGCCAAGCTAAACCCAAAGCTCCCCTCTAGATCATATTTAAAATGTTGTCTTCATGAAATCTTTCAAATCTCTTTAGAAATGTCCGTCGCATCTTTGCTTCTGTATTGTCAAGGCTTAGACACCCTATGGGAACGCAAACTGAAAGGAAGTAGAAATAAGCAATATGTTAATGATAACAATGTTTAGAAAGGGATTTCATGGGAATGAAATAGTCTTATTTTTGCCAATATAAATAAAGGCAGAAAGCTCTTTTTGTAGCAGGAGTGTGTGAAATGTGAAACCCCGGCAGTGCAAAGCAATACCGATATGAATCAGAACGACTGCGATAAGCAAAACACTACCCCTGGAGGTGGGAACGTGATCTGGCGGTTACAGTAGCAGAGAGCAAATTTGAAGCTCCCCGTTTCTGCCCCGACAAACTATATGTCTGTAGATCATTCACGTGCTGTCTATCAGTTTATCCATCTGTAAAACAGAGACATATTTATCTGTATATGAGACATATTTATTTGTAACTCTTGCCAAGCATCACTAATGAGCGCCGATAGCCCTGTCTTGTCAGGAATGCGGGATTTCACAAATGGAAAGTACAAGTCATTAGCACTTTGGGAGAACACAGAGCACCATTCCTTTTGTGAAAACAGCTGTACACTTACAAGCAAATGTGGTGATACTGACCGAAGAATCTCTTTATTCTCCTGGCAGTGCTGAAAGACTTGGAATTAAATCTTACACAAACTTCAGATCACTAGCTCTCTAAAGCATAAAGCATATCTCCCATAAAAGAAGTCGATTAAACCAATCAATCTCCACTAATCAATATTATTAAAAGGTAATTTTTTTATTTTTATGCATTTATTAAAAAATGCACTGGGTATTTTTATTTCTACCTTCATTAACTGAAAGTAAAATCTTTAGAGTGATATTTTATAACTGAACTGAGTTGGTAGTTTCACAGCCGTTGCCAAGGTTAAGGTTTCCTAACCATAGACCACACACAATCCTGTCATTGCAGAATCAGCAAACAGAGCAACGGCTAATAGAGACTGGAAACCGAAATATCCTTCCACATGCTGTAGGGCACCCCTGAAGGGTTCCTATTTGGCCTGTGAAAGCTGACACTTAATCAGTCTGCTGTGAATAAATATATTTTTCTAGTTTGCTTGCCTACAGATGGAAGGTGCCACAGTGACATAAAATAGTCATGTGTCCAACCTGTGTGTGTGCAATCCTGGATACCCATTTAAAACTGGCCTTTATATTTTCTACTCTATCTATAAATTTATCACTGGGAGTCTTCTTATAAAACCACCAATTATAAAATCATGCATTTGATTAAACTGTTATTACTTCAGGTATGTATTAGGCCTAATCAGATTTCATGTTTTGAGACTGCCTTTCTGCATCATGAAATCTCAAACTAATTACAAAGTTAATAATAAAAGCAGTGACTATCTTCTCTGAGAAGGAACTTAAATCCATTACAGTTTTACATGAAGGAATACTCTCCTACAGATGCTTTGGTTTTCTTTCTGCCTGTTGGAGGAAAGCTGCACTGTCAACCATTTCCCTCTGCACTTTACTGGTAGTGTTTTTACATAGTTTGGTGGCGTTGTCACCCCTGCTTCAGCTACCACATACACCTTGGGAGAACTCCCATAACTGCTTGTACACAAAGAACTAAATCCACCACAAGACTTGTCCATTTAAACTGGAAATTCAGACTGCACAAATTCCTAGTTAGGCACCACCAAATTGTAGAAAAGCATCTGAAGATGACTGAATTATTATTTATTAAGTTTCCCAGCTGCCTTCCTGTCCGCTCCTAAACATTCACAAATTGTGGGCCCTTTGAGAGGCACAGCAGTCACCTCAGGAGAAGGCATGTCATCTTGAAAGAGACTTTTTCAAAGGTTGCCTGTAAGATCGGGCAGTAAAATAGTCAACTGCAGCTGAGCAATCTGAACAAATCACAGGACAGGTTAACAATTTTATAGCATCATGGGACCGAGGAGTCCCACCCGCGGCCCTGGGCTGAGCCTGTTACATGTGGAGCGAGCACAGCCCCTTCTGCGAGGAACTCACAGCCCAAGTATCAGGCAAGAGACAGCAGATGGTGAGAGACAGATGGGAGCGTACAAGGAAACAGTGAGATAAATGAGCAAAAAATCAGTTGAAGACTTCAGCATTTGGTTCCAAAATTATTAATTTTACTAACCATTTCAGCTGATGAAACCCTACGTTCAGAACGCCTTTCCTGTTCCAAAGGTCTTAATAGCTACAATTACAACACATGCCTCAGCCCAGCACGGGTTACATTTTAGATAAAGAGTGGGAGTGAAGGAGGCAAGAAGTACCAAGGCGGGAGGGTGTCAAATGCTGAAATTAATTCGTAAAGGGGGCTGGGGTATCTCGGCAACATGCAGCTTAAGGCAACCTGATTAAGCACAGCTCAGTAGGTAAGGCGCTGACTGACGGAAAATTCAGGCTTTAAGGGAGGCCGGCGCTGGCCCGCAGCCCCCGTCACACGCGGGCGAGCCTGTTCGCAGCCAGCCGGGCATGTCACACGCGAGACGCGCAGCCCCACCAGCGCGGCCGGAGGAGCCCCCGCGCTCCGGAGGCTCAGTCAGCTGCTGCCCCGCGCCGTGCACCGGGGCGGACCCACGGCGGGGTCACTCACGCACAGAGATCTGGCCCCTGCGGGTTGGTGACAGCCCAGTCGCCCCCCCGCCCCCGCGGGGAGCGCTAAGCCACCCCCAGGATGCCGCGGTCTCGGACGGCAGCCCTGGAGGCCAGGGCGTGCGCCGAGGGCTGGTAGGGCGCACCGAGGGGGAGGGATCACACGCGGACCGAGAGGGTCCGAAATCCTGAGAGAGCTGCAAAGAACACCTCCCGCCGTGCCCACAGCTGGGAGGGGGCTGGGGCGGGCCGCACCGCCCCTCCGGCCCGCGGGCGGCCGGGGCGCGCCGCCCTGCGCAGCCGCCGTGCCCGGGGAGCCGCTGCCCGGCGAGGGGCGGCGGGCGGGAGGCGGCGCCGATCGGAGGTAAGGCGGGGGCGCCCTACCGGGACATCCCACCGAGGCATCCCACCGGGACACCCCGAGGCCACTCCCCGGGGCTGCCTCAGGGAAAGCGAAACCAAAAGGAGGGTGGCGGCGCTGGCAGCGGGAAGGGGCGGGCAAGGGGCTCCCCGCGGCGCGTCTCGACTCAACTCGCTCCTCCCCTCGGCGCCGAGGCGGAGCGGGCGGTGGTGGCGGGCGGGCTCAGCGCGCCCCCATGGCCCTGGTGCTGGGTCAGCGGGCACAGTAGCCGCCTCCGGCTATTCCCGCGGGTGACTCAGAGCTACCCAGGGAAGGCAGGCTGGAGATGCGCCTCGCCTCCGGGCTTCGGGCTGCGGCCGGAGACTGAGCCACAAAGAAGTTTTCCCGGCGGCGGCGGCGGTGGTGGCGAGGCGCTCCCCCATGCACCCCTCCGGCCGCCGATCCTGGAGCGCTGCTCGGCAGGCGCCCGGCACCGACCCCGCCATGGAGCCCCGCGCGGGGCTGCACAGCAGCCCGGAGCTCAGCCGGGCCAAGCGGCTGAGCGTGGGGGAGCTCCGCTCCCTCTTCGAGGCTCGCTGCGCCGCCGTCGCTGCCGCCGCCGCCCGCCAGCTGCCCGACCCGGCGAAGAGGGGCTGCCGACGCCCCAACGGGGTGCTGCCGCCCGTCATCCCCCGGCTCACCGTCACCGCCGAGGAGAGCGAGGAGACGCAGGGCAGCCCTCAGGCGCGGCCGCCGAAGCCGGAGGGCAGCTGGCTGAGGACGGGCAGCTCGTTGCACCTGCAGTCCCGCAGGCTGTCCAACTCCTCGCTCTCCTCCACCGGCTCCTCGTCCCTCTTGGAGGACTCGGAGGACGACGTGCTGAGCGACACGGAGTGCAGGAGCCAGGGTATCGTGCACTTGGAGCACGGCGAGGACACCAGCCAGGTAGGGAGGAGCGCGGGGGGAGCGGTTCGCGCCTGACGGGGCTGCTCGGCGTCTCACGGACGCCTCGGGGCCACCAGGCGCTCCCGCTTGGAGTGAAGTTTCCGTGACCCAACTCCACGCAAAGTCTGGGAAACTCCTGTCCGGGGGCCGGCAGCGGTGCGCTGCCGTACACAAGCTGTTGCGCCTGTTGGAAAAGCGCTGCTGCACGTTGGCTCTTCTAAAACCCGGCCAGGTGTGCGCTCTGGAATTGTGCTTGATGTCCCAAGAATACCGGGAGATGGTTTTTGATCACAAGTGAGTTGTTATTTCTTTTCTTTTTTTTCCCCCCAGTCTCCTGTGTCAGATGTTAAAAATAAAATTTTTCCAGGCACTTACCAGCAGGTATTTTTTTATCTCTTTCAATCCTGGAGTCTGTGGTTGTCAATTTTTGAGCTGCTTCTTGCTGTGAGCATGACAGGAGATGGGGAGGAGCTTGGAATGGATAGAATGCATGCTTTTGTCCGTTCTGGCAGCAACACATTCTTCTCAGTAAATCCCCTCTGTAATTTGGCAGCTTTCATCCATGAAGTGCACTTTTAAAGGCACATAGTTAGTTGCTTTTTCACGGTCTTTAATATGTATTTGTCTGACTCCTTAGTGTGCTTCTGAGTCTTTTGTACCTGAAAATGCAGCTTTAGTGAATTTCCCCTCCTACCTTTATTGACACCACAACTTAAATTGTCGTTCTACTGCCAGCTCATGGGTGCTGAATTGTTTTCAAGCAGAACATATGCTTTAATAAAAAACGTATAAAGAAAAAGTAATGGAACTTGTAGGTGATACCTCCAGCTGGACTTTTCTCATGGTAATTGTGGATTTACTACTTTAGAGGACGCACAGTACAGGAGCTAAAATGCTGTGCACAATATTGGTTTTGTTTGCATCAACTTGTGGCCTGTTTTGGAAGAGGAAAAAAAATAAAAAAGGTTCTGTACTTTGCCATGTTGAATATCAAGAAACCTGTAATAATAATATTTAATTTGTACCTTTCATTCTGAGATAGAATCCGGTTTGTAGGGGGAAAATTACTGTAGTTTTGCTTTCTTTTCTAAAATACATGCTGTGCTAGTGGGGATTTTGTGAAAGTAGCAGGAGAATAGAAATTAAAGATAAAAAAGGGCCATATCCCTGCTATTGCAATGGCTGTATGCGTGGTTAGTGGGGAACAAGAATTAAGTGATGACACTTTAACAATACGGGGGAACTCCAAAATGGCATTGTGGCATCTGGTTAACTTGTTTGTGAACATAGATTGAAGCAAAACTGATTCATCATACAAGAAGCCATGCTACCTCTAAGGTTTTCCTTTTGCATCTCTGGAATCATTGGTATTGTATGCAATATTGAGTCCTAAATGATTAGAAGTATATCCTTCCCTGTAGCCTGACATGCATGTATCTAATACAGCATAAATGGATGTGAGCGGTACTACTTTCTTCTAAGAAATCTTTGAAGTCACCTGTTAAAAGGCTTCAGTCACCTTTTAATTACAAGAAAATAAACTATTGAAAGAAGCAGATCTTTAACAATGATTTATAGACAAATTAAAAATATCTCTATTATAAATGTTTTAACTCTGAAAGATTGTCCTGTTCATTAAGGCATCTAGGAAATTGGGAACTTTGATAGCATTAGGATAATTCAGTTTTTGAAAACATTTTTTGCAGTTTTCCCAAGTTTAGCACAGCTGCAGAATTGTTTAGTGTCTCCATTGTAAAGTAAGTATTCACTCAACTGGTAAAATACTTGATGTTTTAAAAGGCTGAGTTATTTTTCCATACCTGCAGTGTAAGGAAAGATGGGGCAAACTGCCCACCATGATCCTGCATTCTGATGGATGTTCTTTATTTCATTATCCCTTCTGTGACAAGTTGTCAAACCAGAGCAGGGACTGGTACCTTGGACTCTAAACCAGCAGAACTTCATGGCACTGCCTAGTAAATTAGATGGGCCAAACATTTTGTCTTCTCAGTGAGAGCTCACATAGTTCATCCCTCCCTTCCTTTCTGCATTACCCTCAAATCCCAGGAATCTGCTGTTTCCCATGTGGTCAGATGCACTGCCCTTCATCTCTTGATGGCCCACTGTTAGTTCACCAATACCTACCTGGAGGCATCCAGGAAAGTCTTGTTCTTGTGTTTGATGTCTTCTGGTACTGGACAGTGCTGTGACACTATTAATTCTTGCTCTCAGCTATCTAGAGTTCACAGAAACTGTTTCTTTAGTGAAGTAGGGAGTTCATACCGTGCCAAAGTAGGAGCCTGTGCTTTGAATCTGTGAGGGTTCAACTTTACAGGATGTGTCCTTTCTACTCTTAAATCTTGAGGCAGGATGAATAAGTGTGTTTTAGAATGGAAGGCTTTGGGTTCAAGGCAGGCACATACATGTGAAAATAACTACAAATTTTGTGATAACCCAAGGAATGATTTTATATTTTGAAGATTTTATATGGAGGCATATTTTGGCATATTTTGTTCACATTTGTTCATTTTAGTGTATTCTGATAGGTGAAGGCTTGTTCTCAGAGTGGAACACAAAAGATAGAGACTTTTCTGAAGGAAACTGAAATCAGAGGTGGGCCAGACTTACTGTGTTGACATTTTAAAATTTCCCTTGTATTGGGGAATTTCTTTAGATTTTTCTTTGGAAAGGTTAGAAATTAATTTGGAGCCTGGCACCTATGATTAAGGTCAGACCAGTGCTCAAAGAACTGCTGGGCTGTCAGGGCTCCCCAGTGCCTAGCAGGGACCTTGGAAAGTTGCCCAGGACTTCAACTGTGGGAGTAGAAGTTCTGATAATGTTCCTGTTATCAGGGCTTCAAGGCTTCCATCTGCAGATCCAGGAACATAAGCTGAAGAAGGTCCTCCCAGACCTCTCTACTGTGCTGACCTGGAGATCAAGACCCATCTGAGTCTTTGAAATACTGGGGGCTCTCAGGCAACCTGTACAGGACCGTGTGAGAGATGGGAAGCTCTGGAGCCCTTCCTATGTGTCCAGGGCTTGCTGCCCTGCAGTTCTCAGGCCTTAAATCCCAGGCTGGTATGCCTGGGAGTGCTGTCCCTAACTGTATGCCTTGAAGGACAGTTTTCCTTGGCAGCTCACTTAGTAAACAGCTCTCCAAGAGGATGAGTGATTCAGTTGTTTCACAGAGTATTCTGGGTTGGATGGGTTGACACATAATGACAATGTTAAATTTTTGTTTCTTATTGAGCACAGTATGTGGGCATGTCCCTGGAGTCTTAGGGCCTGTGTTGGGGGGCGTGAATACCTTGGAACCAGTGGCTGACAGTGACAGTGCAGTCCCAGCGTGGCTCCGCTGGAACAAAATGACGTTTTCATCTGGGCAGGCCCACCTTTGAGAGGAGCTCAGTGGGTGGTGTTCCAGTTTCTCTGCATACATTATGCATGTCATTTTGCAGTAATTAACAGAGACTTTGGAATCTGGGCTCTCCTGGGTTTCCTGAAGGAAGACCCTTCCAACAGTGAAGAGTTAGAAGTGTGAGAGAAACCTGTTCTGTTGTCCTGTTCCTTCAACTTGTGATTCAGTGAAAACCAGCTGTGCCAAAGAGGTGCTAATGGAATTAGCATAATGCCATAGTTGAAGCTTCGTCAATCTTGGCAATTAACTTAATGAAAAAATATTGGGTTTTTTTGCATAGCCAATTGACAGAATAGATTTTACCCTATGGCAACAGCTAACATTCCTGCCTTCTCTTGCATTTAAATGGGAATCATACTTTTATACCCATGCTTCATGCCATCTGGGAGGTGTATACACACAGTTGAATCTTGCAGTGAAAACACCAGTGGTGCATTTATAGTAATGGAGAGAGTACAAGAGCTATATATTTTTGTCTTCATTCTGTGAATGAACAATTTTAAGAAATATGAAGTCTGGTTAGCACCTTCTTCATTGGGACAGAGACTCTAAAAAGTGGTTTTCATAAAAAATAAACCATGATAATGTACAGCAGCCTCTTGTCCTCTTTATAGGAGAGTGTTATTTACTAGACAGAAACATGCCAAATAAATCTACTCATTTTCATAACTGCGACCTGTCATTCCAAATTCCTAGAACTGTAACCATGAGAACAGCTGACAGTTCGCTAGAGGAAAAAACAGTTCTGTTCTTGCCTGCAATAATACCAGTCCAGAAACTTTGGGGGATAGCCATTAGTGAAGTGTATTTGGTTTCACTGATCTTCTTGCCATTATTTCTCATAACACCAAATACCTTAAAAAGGACAAGTGTATAGAGAGGCACACACACTTAATAACTAACTAACTAAATTAATATATACAGTCTGAAAGTTTCAACTACTTTGGCTCAGGGGTGGGTTACATAAGCTAATGCAGTAGAATAAAATTGTTATTTTTAAAGGAAGAATAGGAGTGAAGGGATGACATAAGTAAGACTGTTAATGGGGTTTTAGCCTACTTTCAAAAGGAAAGAAAGCTTGTGTAATCACTCTATCAATTCCATCTTAACAATTTCAGTAGGCTTCAGCCAAATTTGGCAGTGGTATAGACATCTTAAAGTTTCTTCAAGAGCTCTTTGAAGTTCCACAAAGATCAGACTCTGTGTGGAAGAGAGGAAACCAAAATAAGTGCATACTTTTTCTTCTCTGGGGAAGAAGGTGTAAGAGGAGTTAAGCAGTTGTCTTCTGTTTTGCTTATTGACTAGCAAATTGGTGTGTGCATACTGGCTAGTCCAGAGGTGCTTATGTGCTTGATCCAGCTGCAGCAGGTAGTGTCTCCATGTACTGAGGGTAATTAGGAGAAAAGTATGGAAGGGAGTATGCAGTGATGTGGGCTGGTGAGGTTAGGGAATATGAATGCACTAGTTAAGAGACGGGAGAAAGGTGACAAAATTCCCAGGAGGTGTGGAAATGTGAGAGACATTGGTGGGCTTTCGAAAAAAATTTGTAGAGGACAAACTGTAGATACTCTGATAAAGGTGCAGGACAGAAGATACCAGTCAAGCAGAAACCAGGCTTCATTAGTTTGCTGCTCACGAAACAGCTACTTTTAAGGGAGTACCTTTCATGCTTCTAAAAAAATCCAGATTTATAATGACAGTCCCATAGACTGAAATATTCCTATTGTATACTGAACAAATATGAGGTGAACAGCAGTAATGTTCCACATTTGCACGTTGCACAGTTATTGGAACAAATTCTGAATTGAGAGCTACCTCTCAGCTTGAGGATGGATTCCTTGCCACCGTACGCTTGAGTGGTGGAGTATATCAAAACATCAGCAGTATCAGCTCTAATGGTGACTGTTTATTAGTAATGTGGATTCTTGTCTATAAGGAAATGAGTTGGCTCTTACCAAATCAG